CTTTCGAGGGAACTGCCGAGTGATTCCAGAAAATTCTGTAAAACGACCGTTGCGCGCTTTTCAAGCTATTATTGAAACAGCAATAAAATAATATGGTAGGTACGCGAATGTATTAGAAGGGAAGCGAGTGCTATAAGGGAATGCGGTGGCGTGGCTCGCAGCGACGACTTCCATTCATTTGTCACATAAATTATCCGACCAGTGTGACGGAAACAAGGAGCGCGGACGATGCGCCACAGAAAATGTTACATCCCTAGTTGTTATATGCATTCATTTGTAATGTCCAGCTTGCAGTTTTTATTGAAATTAATCAAAAACTACGAAGACGATTAAATGAAGACACCAATTTTGAAAACAAAATGAAAGTAATGGAAATATGTTGCAGTTGTATTTAAAAAAGAAAACACGTGTGGCACTCGGGGACTGCCACGGTAAAGCTATTGCATAGCATTTTTTATCAACTTATGCAATTATAATTAGTATTAAAACAATAATAAAAAAAAAGACCACGCTATATTTATAAACATTAACAAAAGCAAAACATTAACTGTCCTCTCCACACTCATAAGCTAGACCGCGCGAGAGAGAGATAGGCAGACTTTTCATGATGCGCATGCAGTGCGACGTCACGCTGCGCGCTTATTCACAAACATTACACAAGTCAACGTGTGAATGTGTTGAACGCAAGCTACATGGTAGGCGGAGTGGGGGTGTTATGTTTTATTTTCGTTACGGAATTTCTTGATTCCGTCGCCGCGCTCAAAGCCACGCAATAACTTAAAACCTAAATACGCAATACGAACTAATCTTCCTTATTTTAATTCCCTAAATATTTAAGCAACTAGTCGCATAATAACAATTCTCGATGTATGTTTCATTGACACAGTCTACATTTATCACAGTTTTAAATTGCCGATTTATTTGCCGGCCGACTTCTCGTCATTTTCACAGCAAATAACAGTGTAGTTTCTAACACGTTTCAGAAGCGGTAATTTTTGAAGCACGCGCGTATATCGTATGTGTTTAATGCGACCGGAGCATTTCTCTTTTCTGTCGTACAATCCGTAACGCTAGTCGTTATACTGTATGAATTACTACGGTGTTAAGCTCCAACACCATTACGACGGCACGACGTTGTATTTTCTGTTTTTATTTTCAATTGTTTTTTTGTTTTTGTTTTACAAGACACGTGGGTGATTGAGTTTGTTGTTCGTTCGGTTTGATTACAAAAATTCAACACAATGTTCCATAAAGAAGTAGTATTGTTTTGAAAATATTTCAATGTTGCCACTAAAGTGACATTCAGTGATTTAACAATGAGTTCTATTGGCCGACTGTCAATATAATTACGGTGTTTTTTTTTTGTTGCTTAGATGGGTGGACGAGCTCACAGCCCACCTGGTGTTAAGTGGTTACTGGAGCCCATAGACATCCACAACGCAAATGCGCCACCCACCTTGAGATACAAGTTCTAAGGTCTCAAGTATAGTTACAACGGCTGCCCCAGCCTTCAAACCGAAACGCATTACTGCTTCACGGCAGAAATAGGCAGGATGGTGGTACCCACCCGCGCGGACTCACAAGAGGTCCTACCACCAGTAATTACGCAAATTATAATTTTGCGGGTTTCATTTTTATTACACGATGTTATTCCTTCACTGTGGAAGTCAATCGTGAACATTGGTTGAGTACGTATTTCATTACAAAAATTGGTACCCGCCTGCGGGATTCGAACACCAGTGCATCGCTTCAACACGAATGCACCGGACGTCTTATCCGTTAGGCCACGACGACTTCTAAGACACAGTTGAAATAATTATGTGAAACTTGCAGAAATTATCGAACGAATGTTTCCATATAGACAGAATATGATAAATGTAGGCGAATGAATCCAAAACACAGACAAATTGAAGAGTCATAAAAGTAAACAATTAGAATGGCCATTCCATTGAATCAATCATAAAAAAACTCTTAATTTTTTTACATCGTTTGCCGCAAGATGAAGAAAATTAAGCGTTATTTGAAACACGGCGGAAAAGATCTTAAAATTAATAGCAATTAGTGTTCTTTGTATTTAATGACGTGTCGATTTACTGTGGTGCTGCAGAAATCACTAAATGAAAGATTCTAGAATTCTAAGAACAAAATTCTAGCTTCCGGCAGTTTAACGTTTTTTTTATTGCTTAAAAGGGTGGACGATCTCACGGCCCACCTCGTTATAAGCGGTCACCGGAGCCCATAGACATCTACAACGTAAATATCGCCACCCACTAAGATCTCAGTATAGTTACAACAGCTGCCCCACCCTTCAAACCAAAACGCATTACACTACACGGCAGAAATAGGCGGGGTGGTGGTACCTACCCGTGCGGACTCACAAGATGTCCTACCACCAGCTCTATGTTGCTTTAAAAAGGCAAACACACCATAAAACCAAGAAATATATTAGATTATTAAGAGTGAATCGAATCCACTCCCGAAAATAAAGACAGATAGTAATACATACTTCCAACTTACCACACTTCTTATTCAATAGAGTTAATTTAAGAAGCACTTGACCTCATGCGTCAGTTGATTTTGAACGTATTCCATTGCGTGCACCGCCCAAATACATTTCTTAGTTATTAAGGTTAAGCACTTCGATACTAGTACACTACAGAGTAAGCCATACCCACACAATCCCTACTAATATTATAAATGCGTAAGTAACTCTGTCTGTTTGTTTGTTTGTCACGCTTTCACGCCAAAACTACTGCACCAATTTGAATCAAATGTGGTACACAGGTAATCTAGGGCCTGAGAAAGGACATAGGGTAATTTTAATTTTGCGAAAAAAGTGTTGTAAAGGGCTGAAATGAGCTGATAAAAAGTTGTAGGGAAGTATCGACATTTTTAGAGTTAAAAGTTTGAAACTTATTGTTTTGGCTGTGGTTTCGAAATAAATAATAATAACACTAAGCTTACAACATTAGAAAAAAAATCTGCCATCTGGGAGCTATTTTTGCATGCGCCGCAAAAACCGTTGGAGTTACACGTATATAATGTAAAATGGAAATGTTTTATTTCGTGTTCGCTATAAATATTCGCATTATCGCCAATATAGTGAACCCTAAATATAAGAAGAGGAAAGATAAGATTTTTTGTTTGTTACGTCCTTTTTTTATTGTGCTTGTTACTGTCAGGACCAGATTTGTATAATAGAATTATTCAATAAGATCAATAATAAATTACAGTTCCCGAAGCGAAGCGAGGGCGAGTCGCTAGTGAATATTATAAATTTTATGAATTGATTATTATTTATTCAAAACTAGCTGACCCGGCAGACTTCGTAGTGCCCAATCGATAAATAAAAGACCTAAACTTTTGTATAAAAAAAACTTAAAACAAACAAAAGGAATCCGGAATAACCACAGTCATGATAACATAAATGACACATCCAGAAACACGAGGTCAAAGTCTCTGTCCAGACTAGCTAACCAGGGCGCCCAGTCTACCCATACTTCAAACTGGTGGTATCCGCCCCTGCGAGCAAAGAATACGCGTTATCGCCAGGCGATTTTATGCGAATCTACTCTTTTACAAGATATCTGTTTGATTTAAAATAAGACTTTCAATTTCCTATTGATTGGAGAATAAAAAGGTTTGGTTCGTATCATTACAACATAGAAATATATTTACTGATTTCACAGCAATAGTTCCGGTTCGTTTAGTTGTATTAAACCGTAACGAGATTTGATTATCTCACTGCTAATGGCGTTAGAAAATAACTTAAATTGCGACATATTGACAGGAAGAAAAACTGTTTTATTTTATTGGAATCGAGACGTGTTTACGACTCATCGTCTTATCAGAGCCCATAGTTATCACAACGCGAATACCACCGTCCTATTCGTGACGATTCGTGACGGTCCTATCACACCAATCGCTACAGGATTACCATATAGACACATCGCGCTCGTCCATCCTTCGTTTCCAGGTTACCTATATTTCTTTGGATTGAACGGTTTTACCAAAGTATTACCAACACGAACAGTTTTTCTTTGAATTAGGTTTGAAAAACGACCATGAATATCTGTAAACACTCAGAAAGGTATTCTCGTCTGTCTCTTGAGGCAACGAATAAGAAAATACATGATTAGATAGTAATTGAAAGTATTGAGCTGAGATCAAAACACGTACGTGGCTATTTTACATTTTTAGATATGTGACTTCGAGATCGTCTACTTGCTAATAATATTTTCTCTGCACCCATCAGTAGAAGCAATTACCCTTCGTTATTATATAGCCTAAGTCACTTTCTGGCAAGGCTCGATGTAAGTCCATTCGAATCTGTACTTAGTTTCATCCGCTTTGATATGAAGCTAAAGATTCAATTATACTGTATGGCGACTATTAAAACCCTTAAAACTGGAACACATGAATGCTTCACGGCATAAATAGGCAAAAGTCGTCGTGGCCTAAAGACATCCGGTGCATTCGTATGTAGCGATGCAGCGGTGTTCGAATCCCGCAGGTGGGTACCAATTTTTCTATTGAAATACGTACTTAACAAACGTTCACGATTGACTTCCAAGGTAAAGGAATAGCGTTGTGTAATAAAAAAACCCGCAAAATTATAATTTGCGTCATTACTGGTAGGACATCTTGTGAAGTACCACCACCCTGTTATTTCTATCGTAAAACAGTAATGCGTTTCGATTTGAAGGGTGGGGCGGCCGTTGTACTATACTGAGACCTTAGAACTCATATCTCAAGGTGGGTGGCGCTATTTATGTTGCAGATGTCTATGGGCTCCGGTTACCTTAACATAAGATGGGCCGTGAGCCTCGTCTGCCCATCTAACCTATGAAAAAAAAAAAAAGGGTAGATATTTATTATTCTGAAACTTCAAATGTCACAAGGTCATTCACCTGAGATTTCTATGCTGTGTTTTTTTTTCCACAATGTAAACCCGTAACTCTGACATTCGTATACAGATAAATAATACTGAAATTTCTTACCTGGTTTGGTCCCGCACTTGGCGTACGCGATCCTGAACGAGAAATACGTCTGGCCCGTCGATGGTGGCACGTACACGCACCTCGGGTCACCGTGCTGACCTGCAATCACGGACAGCTGTAAACATGCTTCATAACAACGTTGAGGCCATGATTTATTGGTTTCTAAAATTAGACGGGTCTTAATGACGCATTAGTAAATTGTTTTTTTTTTTTCTTATTATTTCGGCAGCTACTTCGGACGTTAACAAGGTACTTATTGACCGGCCGCTGAAATATAGCGTACCTCATTTTTGTTTTTAAGGGATTTTATGACCTGGTAACTAAGACCTTTAGGTCATGTCTTATTTTAATTTATATTCTTATTTTTATGAAAAATAAAATAAATAAAATAAAATAAATAAAAATATGGAGTGAAATGAAATGAAGATGTCAACTTAAAATAAACAGTCACAGCTTTGTCTTAAACGGCAATCGCAATGGCAAATAATAAGAAACGCGCGGAATAAGATTTTGAAGAATAGTTTTTTTTTATTCTTCTTCTGTTTCCTTCAAACCTCCAGTTTTAGTGTAGGATAACAGGATAAAAATAATTACATAAAAGTTAAAATTAACATAAATCTCGGAATTTTAGTCAATTTTAATGGTATTTTTGTTTTTCAAAAATATTTCTAGATACAGTCAGTGACCATATATTATTTATACTTTTTATACTTTTACTTATAAAGTGTATTTTCTGAATGATTGAATGAATGAATAATTGAATGAATATTTTGTTTAATATTATTAAGGAAAATCCACTGGTTTTTTAATACTTGTAATGATTTTAACATTGACATAGCTTTTGTAGGATATAGAGCGTATGGTATAACATTCTTGTTCTGGTTTAATTTTTCCATAAAAAACGTAGCCCGCTCATCATCTCAATATAATGGGTGCGGTAGTTCGTTATCTCTAATGATGTTAGACTACAAAAGAGAACCGGTAAGACACATGGCCCGTCAGATTTATTGTTAATTACTAATTTCATATTAATTCTTATTCTCTAATTAATAACGGGAAGATACCGTTTTAATGTTTAACTTTTATAGTGAATTTAAAACAGGGCTATCTGTGTAAATAATCTTTCGTTTTAAAAAACTAATTAATAACCACCCACGACAGGGCTCAGCCGCTTTGCCTTAAGCCAAAAAGAACCTAATAAGTGTGTCAAATCAAACTGCGTGAATCAATTTCAAGAAGCGATACTACGTGTTGATAATTACAGTAATTTAAATATTCATTTGTATAGTAATATAATTTTTACAATATAAAAAACCTATACACCATCGTACAGACTATAGATGACAATGAATTACTAAAACTAGTCTACATAAAAGGTTGACTTAATCCTTTATTTTTTAATCAATTTAACCAGCTCCTCTGTTGTTGAGACGTTGTCGAGCGCATAAATATAATAATAATAATCTTTTATTTCAGACAATTTTTTTTTTATTGCTTAGATGAGTGGACGAGCTCACAGCCCACCTAGTGTTAAGTGGTTACTGGAGCCCATAGACATCTACGACGTAAATGCGCCACCCACCCTTGAGATATAAGTTCTAAGATCTCAGTATAGTTACAACGGCTGCCCCACCCCTCAAACCGAAACGCATTACTGCTTCAAGGCAGAAATAGGCAGGGTGGTGGTACCTACCCGCGCGGACTCACAAGAGGTCCTACCGCCAGTAAATACATAATAATATATTTATCCCGTCACATGTAGGCGATTCCATGCTAAGAAGAATGGACAATCCATCTCCATTCTGTTCGTAATGAGTTGCAGGTAGCCGTTGGATGCTGCTCGTTTCCTAAGTATTGCGGCAATGCCGCCAATACCGGCGTCTGCAAGCATCCCCGACGCGCTACAGAAACGCGACAGCCCCATCAGTGTCCTGAACCCATTGTTATATTATAATGTGTTTCAGCCACCCATCTTGCGGTATAACGTTATAACGGCTACCTCACCCTTCAAACACAAATACCCGACTTCTTCGCGGCCGAAATAAGTAGAATGATGATATCTACATTTTGGAATTTACAATACGCTCTACCGTCAGGGGCGATGCAATAAATTTCGCGGGAAATCATTGGAGAACTACTCATATTTTGATACTTAGATGGGTGGACATGCTCACCTCTTATCAGTGTGCTTAGTGCGAGTTTTTTGACGTTCACGATATCGTAAAAGTTAACTCACAGTTGTCTCGAGTTGGAACGTTTGCCTACGCTTGCCGCAAATTTAAGTTAACTTTTACGCTATCGAGAACGTTAAAAAACTCGTACTAAGCCCACTGGGGTTTAGTGAATACCGGAGTTAATAGACATTAACGTAAATGCAGCCACCCACATTGAGATATGAGCTCTAAGTTTCGGTTTTACAGTAGAGCGGCTACCGTACCCTTCAAACCAAAACTCATAACTGTTTTCACCAGAAATAGGCAGGATGGTGGTACCTACCAGTGCTCACTAAACGTCCTAGTAACCAGTATATTACGCGATTACCAAAATAATAATTTTAGCGCTTTTAATTTCTATTACACGATGTTATTCCGAAAGTAGTTCGTGAATATTTGTTAAACAGGTATTTCTATAGAAACAGGCATACATGTATGGTTTGATACAAAAATGGCGAGCGTCTTATCCTTTTAGCCACGATAACTTAAAGTTTGACATCCCTGACTTTAACCTTTTATATTCAGCAATATATATCAATAAATATAAAATAATTTTGTCTAATAAAATCTTATATACTATATATCTACATATTATTATATTATTTAGCGATAATTTTAGGTTATTAAAAATATATATAAAAATCAATTCACACGTCATTCTTTTGATATTCAGATAGGTGTAATTAATAAATTTACCCATTCTGTCTACGCGTATGTTAACTTGAAGAACCGTACGCGGCCGGTAAAGATCCGCAATTGGGGCGTGCACCGTATTAATAATTCAGTTCTTAACAATTATAATTGTCAGTGAAACCTTCGTAATTACTGTTACAATTAGCGTCGGCGCGGTCTGAATACGACATGTGCTGGAAGCAAACAGTACAGTTGATATTCTTCTGTATTTTACCTTATAAGTCTCATGTTTTATTATCGCTCACATTCAATTTATCAGAGCGGCTCTCTGACAGAGGCTCGTTTTTAGTAAAGACTTAGGAGACTTGAATTTTGAGCTTAAAGATGAACACGATTTAATTAGTGACCTAATTTCGTTTCTTTTTTCAGTGCGCTAGTTAGGCAAATAAATCCAAGGGAACTATTTTTTAAATTTTTTTATTGCTTAGATGTGTGGACGAGCTCACAGCCCACCTGGTGTTAAGTGGTTACTGGAGCCCATAGACATCTACAGCGTAAATGCGCCACCCACCTTGACCTGAGACCTTAGAACTATATCTCAAGGTGTGTGGCGCATTTACGTTATAGATGTCTATGGGCTCCAGTAATCACTTAACATCAGGTGGGCTGTGAGCTCGTCCACANCTCACAGCCCACCTGGTGTTAAGTGGTTACTGGAGCCCATAGACATCTACAGCGTAAATGCGCCACCCACCTTGACCTGAGACCTTAGAACTATATCTCAAGGTGTGTGGCGCATTTACGTTATAGATGTCTATGGGCTCCAGTAATCACTTAACATCAGGTGGGCTGTGAGCTCGTCCACACATATAAGCAATAAAAAAAATAATAAAAAAATAGAAGTTCTAAGGTCTCAGTATAGTTACAACAGCTGCCCCACCCTTCAAACCGAAACGCATTACTGCTTCACGGCAGAAATGGGCGGGGCGGTGGTACCTACCCGTGCGGACTCACAAGAGGTCCTACCACCAGTAAACTACTACTACCACTATTTGTGTTCATTGAGCATTTGAGAATATAGACGTCATAAGTATGAATAGCAAAATTGAAATGTGACGTCGGCGTCGCAATGGTATTTTAAAATATCTATTCGGCCCTTCAAACCGAAATACCTAGAAGCTTCGGTCAGGGCGTTTTATGCTTATAAATAAATAAATAAATAGCTGGGAATAATAATACTGATAAATAAATCACGCACGGTCATCTAGCTGGCCCCAAAGATTTCCTGTGTTATGGCTACCAAAAACGGACATACAAATTTGTGTACATTTAAAAATATACTATAAATATGCACAATTTATAGACAGACCAAGTCGCAGAGGAAGTGAACCTTTTCATCACACGAATGTTTGCTCAATGTGGGAATCGAACCCACGACCCTCGGCGTAGCACCTGCACCACCAAGTCAATGGCGCTAGTTAACGTTATAAATTTGATTCTACTATACGATGTAAATGTTTCATACCGTATTCATACATTGTTGAAACTAAAACAATCGTTGCTTTCTGCGCTAGTCTTTATCTAACATTCAATAATGAATGCTATAAGCTTTACGGGAACCAGGTCGGATACTCTAACGGATTCTACTAACCTTTAGACGAGACAATGCCCTCGAAGGGATGCGAGAACGTGAGGTGCACGTCCATGTGGTCCTTCCCGCACATGACCTCTAGTGACTGGATAACGGGCATACCCTCCGGCCTCTCCATCGGCCATAATTCGCCAGCAGATACTCGACTCTATGAACAAAACGATACAGCATAAAATATCTTGGAAAATTATTCAGAAATGTGAGCTAATTTGATCGCTTTTAAATTTGATGATTCTCGGCAAAGGTTTTAGGGATGGTATGGACTTGTGATGAGACGTAATGGAAATAAAGCTGGTAAGAGAGTGTTAACTATGAATGTGGAAGGATATTGAGGAAGAGACAGACCGAAGAAGATATGGATGGATTGCGTAAAAGACGATATGTGTAAGAGGGGAGTGAGCGAAGAAATGGTATATGATAGAGGAGTATGGAAGGAGAAAAATTGTTGCGCCGACCCTAGGCGATTGGAAGAAGAGCGCGATTGGAAGAAGAGCGCGATTGGAAGAAGAGCAGGAGAATGATAATGATGACGCCTTATATGACCAAAGTACTTTTTTCTTGAATAATATTTTGAGACCATTTGACCAAAAATTTACGCCTTCAGTCTATCTATTTTGGTATATTGCAGATATATTGTGAGCAAACGTTGTAGTCAAAATTTTCTTGGTCAATCAGTGCCAATATAGATGAAATCATCAAAATGTAGATATTTAATAACTTAGCAGAAAGGAACAATCGAAAAATATGCTAAAAACGAAATAAATAAAAAATCGATTTCAACAGTAATCGAATCGCAAAAACTTCTAGAACTTGTACAAGCCTATTATGTATGTATGTGGATATCTACAAGCGTCAAAGAATGACAAGCTCTAAACGACAATGTGTGAAGGAATACATAGAATTATCACATAATACGACAAGCAGTATAACGTTCTCTAACATCGATTCGCAAGATTTACGACAGTCCAAAGACTTATTGTTTCGACCATACGATAACATGTTTAGTGATGTTTTCATTTATTACTTCTCAATTGTATGCTAGATTCAGTCGTAAGATGGAAATTGTTTTTTTTTTTCAATCCACCTGTATTAATTGTTTAGTTCAAACAAGTAGAAGACGCGTAGCTGCATTTTGTAATACACGAGTTTGGTGGAAACAAAAATAGCGTGAAAAATACACTACAATTTTTTTTTTTGCAATAATATTTTTTCTTGTTCTTGTTTTTCTTGTTTTCAAAATCGATCTGTCTTTTTTAGTTAACAGTTAACAACTCTATCAATTATGTAATTTTTTTTATGTTATTGATCTACAAAGCGAATGTTTCAATTTTTGTGATTTCAAAAACAAAGAACGAACTCCTTGCATGTCCTTGTCATTGTCGATGTTCGTGTCATCAGCGTGATCTAACACCATCAGATTGGCCGTGTGCTCGTCTTCGAAGAATCTTTTCATTATCAATAGATAAAAAAAAGATAGATAAAATAGATTCTTGATAAAAAAAAGAAAGGAAAACGACTAAGAATTGTATAAAAACTTAATTAGTTAACACCGTACTGCCTATTTCTGCCGCGAATTTCAGTCTCTCTGGGCTCTGTTGGTCGTTTAGCTTGGCTAACAAAAATCCATACAATAACACCAAAATATTCATACCCTGTAATATTATTTTAATGATGTAAAAAATTGATTCTAGCCGTGACATAGTGTAATATGTATATAGATATTAACAAATTAGATTTTCAATGGTCGAAACGTGTTTCGTTTCAAAATTATATTCTATTTATAAATAAAAAACAAAAAACAATTGTTTGTGTTCCTAATTCTTCTTTCCTTTTGCGGGCCTACTGGAAGAGATTTCGACATGAAATAAGTAGTGCCCTTGTACTCTGTATCCTTATTGTCGTGTTTCTTCTAACAGCTGTGTGTACAAAATATATTAAATAAATAAACAATAATGAAAAGTTGAACAGCTTAAAAAAATGCAAAACCAAACTTTTTACAAATTTTCGACCATCCTAAAAATAAAACGGCTGTTGTTCAATTTGTAATTTTTATAGAAAAAAAATATCAATAAACACTAATCAAAAGGCCCACTTTCACTACGTTTGAGTTGGGAGTTACCGAGAGCATTAGCATCCTAGAGGTGAATGTCATTGAGAACGAGGTTCGGCTCGGAGGTATTTAAAAAATTTGGAATCGCCGCATTAGTTCACATTCAATATCTGTTCACAGCAACACTGACACGTGACCTCCGATGCGGTACCTCTGTAGCCGACTTCAAAATAAGAGGGGTTCTCAATGAGACTATACTTTTATGTGTGTTTCGGCCAAACTTTTTCCAAGGTCAACCGATATTAATCATTGTTTAATTATTTAATGCTGATAACTGATAGTGAAAGAGAGAGAGAGAGAGAACATACTTTATTGCACACCAAAACACACAGCACCAGAAAACAGTCAACAAGCAGATACGTTTGTACAATAGGCGGTCATGTGCTTCTAATGTAGTCCCATTAAAATTTTATCAAGGTCCGACCAGTAGTTTCTGAGCTATCTTTAATAATACATACTTAATTGACTTCAATTATGTTATAATACATTGATTAAATTCCCATATTATTAAGTAGAAATCGGTTTTCTTTTTTGCTAAATTTTAATAGTATTGACAATGTAAACGTAAATATTATGAAAGTAATTGCGATTGGATTAATTTAGAAGATCAAGATTTACAAGCACTAGCTTCTTCCTTCGATTTTAAAAATAATAAACTCCGTTCTAAGGAACCGAATGTATAACAGTGCATTGTTTCTACTATTTCAGAAATAATCCCCGAAGTGCCAAGAATAACGACAGTTAACAAAAAAAACCAAGGAGTACTCATTTAGACATTTTAAATCATTAAAATCCCTTCTCATTTTTTTCTGAGCGCTATGATATTTATGATGATTGATGATTCCACAAACTACTATTCATGAATGTAATCAGTCTGTTCGAAGCGGTTTGGCTGTGCTCCTAAGGCTATTGATATCCATCACCGAAAATGCAGTGGTGCCAATCCGAAGTTGTCGTGGCCTAAAGGATAAGACGTCCGGTGCATTCGTGTTGAGCGATGCACCGGTGTTCGAATCCCAGGCGGGTACCAATTTTTCTAATCAAATACGTACTAAACAAATGTTCACGATTGACTTCCACGCTGAAGGAATAACATAGTGTTATTACACTAGTGTTATAAAACATACATTACATAGTGTTATAAAACCCGCAAAATTATAATTTGCGTAATTACTGGTGGTAGGACCTCTTGTGAGTCCGCGCGGGTAGGTACCACCACCCTGCCTATTTCGGTTTCGGCTTGAAGTGTGGGTCAGCCGTTGTAACTATACTTGAGACCTTAGAACTTATAACTCAAGGTCGGTGGCGCATTTACGTTGTAGATGTCTATGGGCTCTAGTAACCGCTTAACACCAGGTGGGCTGTGAGACCGTCCACCCATCAAAGAAATAAATAAAAAATCAATATTTTAGCGGTCAAACACCACGAGCTATACGAAAAATACAAATACCTTTAAACCAATAAATGTTTACTTCATACTACACTTTAAAACAAGAAAGCCGAATTTTAAAGAACCCGACAATTCGTGCAAACAAGGAATTCCTTAGTGAAACGCTTATAAAGTTGACTGACAAGAAAAGAAAGCGATATATGAGAATGACTCACATTAAATGTGTGTTTACTGTTTATTCTTACCGGCCGCGGAACTCGTGAAATATTTGAGATATGTGTTATACTTCCGGAGTCTTTATGCGGCTTTATCCCTAGTTAAATAGTCAAATGCTAAATATTCATTCGTCTCTGGTATTTCGAAGCCTTCATAAAGATACTACTATGATGTTTTAGAGTTTTTTTTTATAGCTTAGATGGGTGGACGAGCTCACAGCCCACCTGGTGTGAATTGGTTACTGAAGCCTATAGACATCTACAACGTAAATGCGCCACCCACCTTGAGATATAAGTTCTAAGGTCTCAAGTATAGTTACAACGGCTGCCCCACCCTTCAAACCGAAACGCATTACTGCTTCACGGCAGAAATAGGTAGGGTGGTGGTACCTACCCGTGCGGACTCACAAAACGTCCTACCACCAGTAATTATGCAAATTATAATTTTGCGGGTTTGATTTCTATTGCACGATTTTATTCCTTCACCGTGGAAGTCAATCGTGAACATTTGTTAAGTACGTATTCCATTGGAAAAATTGGTGCATGCCTGCGGGATTCGAACAGCGGTGCATCGCTACATGCGAATGCGCCGGCCTTCTTATCCTTTAAGCCACGACGACTTCAGATTTAATTTATCTTCATTTATCAAATATTTTCATATTCTCAAAATTAAAGTAGAATTGATAGAAAAAAAATCACTTTTTAATGTGATCGGTAAGTACCTCAAAAATCATTGTAAAAAGAGGTCGATTTTTGATGTCGTTTATTCATTGTTACACTTTTTTCGGTCTAGATCCTCAACCCGCAAACAAAACGCTCAATAAGGTAATCCTCTCCAAAATCGCCTAAAATAAGCGTAACAAAAACGCACGCTTAGAAAAAAAATACTTCTGCAAGTATGTATTATGTTAATTAAAGAAACTAGGAAGCGGCACCGTTCTCTACATACAGAAAAACTATTTAAATTTATAAAACCCTCGTAATCGACGGGTAAGAATTAATTGGCACTAAAACTGTTTTTTTTTTTAATGCGCGACCTAAACGTTACCATGGCAACAAGTCTGGTTTTTATTGATGTCTTTCGCAGGTTTCGTCATCTACAAAAACTTGAAGAGGTAGCAAAACTTTAGTAACAAAGATTATCGGATCGATTCCAAGAGGTTTAAACAATTTCAATATTTGCATATAAGCAATTACGTTAAAATTACCTAACGTAAGATTATGAGGTTTGCTTCTTAGACCATCGTCGTTGCAGGAATATGATAACGTCTTAGCTCATAAAGGTCATACAATTCCGCACATAATAAAATCTCTTTTGAAATCACACAAGTCGTTCTCAAACTACGAAGACAGGTTTGGGGAACTTGATTTTACTGAAAAGAACTGTACCAGTCCACTTAGAGTCCACATAAATTACAAATAATGTACTGCTA